GGCGGTAGACGAGCAGACAGGGCCAAATAGCGATCCAACTAGGGTAATGCCACTTAGGCTGTTGAGCGTGCGCATGGAGCACATTGAAAATGAAAAATCAGCGATCAGGAGATCGACGTAAGAGGAAAGCAGACAGAACAAGTTTATCCGCCGTGACGATAACTGCTGTTGAACGCCGCGTCCCGCGAAAAGAAAAGCACAATTGCACGGAAAGCGCGTGATGCGGGTTCGAGCCCCGCCTTGGGTGAAGACTTTTTCCTATAACTCAGCATTCTTATGATAGAAAGCACTCACTTATAGTAATTCAGGTTTTCTATGCGAGGCCTTTTCGAAGGAAAAAGGTCGTCAGTGAAAAAGCTCGACCGAAGCATCTGCTCGCTTTGAGACATGGAAGACAGTTTGTCTGAAAAGCAGTTCATATTTAAAAGTCACGCAAGAAATCAAAGGCAGTTTCCACGCTGGTCGTGTGGGTGGAGTCACATGGACAGGTAGGCCTTTCGAATGCCCGCTTTTTCCAGAACGACAGAGAGAAATAGGTCCTCAACAAGAAAAGCACATTGGTAATGCGGCTCTGCCAACACGACCAACGCGGAAAGTGTTTTGCGGAGAAATAATTCCCAGCTGTGATGGTACCCACGTTGTGCTTCGGTTGGTGGGATCCAACACGGCGCTTTGATAGTTCGACGCTTTCGAGTACGCTGTTGCAGGACAAATACGGTAACAACCACTATAAGAATGGCCAAACAGCCAATAATGAAGGACCAATAGCCATCAGAATAGGAGATTGTCACGTCGTCAGTAGTTTTGTGACGAGCAATTGCCTCATAGATTGGCATTCCCATATCGGCTAGATCCTGAAAATGAGCACATAAACTTGATTCAAGGCCCTGTGACCTGGGTAAGGGTACCTTTTTGGCATTCGCAGCTCCCAAGTAGTTGGCCACTATGTCAACATCAGTGAAGCATTCACCATAGCATTCAGCAACATCCACTTCGATCCATACAAGAACGCCTACATCCGGATAGGCTCGTTTGATCCGAATTTCTCCTCCGTAACTGATCGATAAGTTCTGTAAATAGTGATTTTTTTAAATCAGCCCAAAGGAAAGATGTTTGGAAGAAACGAGGTAACTCTTCCCCAAACAAGTGTGAATACTGTGCTAAGTGAACTATAGGGCAAACCCTCAAGTTTATCACGGGAATCAGTCAAAGCGCCTCATGAAAACCGCCTCTGTTCTTTCTCATTTTTTATTAGTGCATTTGAAGGCTTAATACCGTGCGCAAACGTCTGTTTGAGAACAGCGCGGTGCGCGCTTGGGTGTGCGGTCCTGTGGTGTAGTGGTTATCACGTCTGCTTTACACGCAGAAGGCCGCCGGTTCGATCCCGGCCAGGACCTTCGTTTTGCCAATTATGTTCCGCATCAGGTATGAGGTATTATACCATGCCATGCCATTCCATGCAGCACGACCTACTTTATTTTTCATTTTAATTATTTATTAATTCAAGCGCAGCCTTCGGAATCTTGCACCACTTAAGGAGACATTCCCTGAACATAGGCACAACGTTCATAAACCTGTTGCGCTTTGTCTGAAAACCCAGTAGTAAAACTCACATGTTTTGTGCCCCCTCCCCTCTGCCCCCAGAAAAAGGTAGGGAAAAACTCTTGCATGAAGGAAAAAACTGCGACC